TGACTACATGTAAAACGAAAGACATTTTCGTATAATTGAAGATAGGTTGCATATAATTGAGAATGAGTTACACCCTCTTGAAAGACTTGATTTATATACCATTGTATAATTAATTTTCTAATAAGAAAAATTTGACCAATTTTTCTCCAAAAAAATGTGTTAGATATTTATTTGTTGAAGCATAGATATCTTCCTATTAGAAGCAATCTTATTTGAAGCATTGTTGAGCACTAAATGTAAGCACCTCTTATAAGGGGGATTCGAACCTTTATTCGTCACTTTATAAGAGATTAATCCCTTCTGTTAAATCCAATGTTGTTGGTAATGTGTCATATATTTAGGTTTCTAGCATCTCTACATCACACAACCAAACGGGCCAGCTCCAATGAAACCGTCCAATACAACTAGAAGAATCAATTTTTTTTCCCTCAAAGGTCGGAGGTTTGAATGGTACTTTTTATTTCTTAAAGTCCAAACACATTCTTAACTTCAAATGATCTGTTGCATGAAGAAACTAATTACCTTCAGCCCTCTGAAAAGCCCAAGGAGCCAACTAATTCTACCTTGGAACTCCAAGAAAGTATTCGTCTTTTTAAAAAAAAAAGAAAGTATGGGTAAAAAAAAGGAACAAAAATGCCAACAAGGGAAGGAACCCACTAAGCGTCAGAAAAGACCCAATCAAACCCAAAGAGAGAGGAACTCTACCACAAACTGGGCTAGCACAATGTTTTCAAAAACAAAAAAACAGAAGCAATAACTAACAGGGGTTGAGTTTTTTTTTTGGGACTAAACAGGAGTATTAGTAGTAGAAGGAGTTATTCTATCACAATATGATAAATTAAGGTTCGAATCTCTATTGAGAGAGGTGTGGCTAAGCCTGAGAACACTTTGCTGGAGTTCAAAAGCCCAACTTTAAATAATTGCAAACCATAAAATTAAGTGCTTTGTAAATTGTGATTCTAATGTTATAGGGAGGTAAGTAGGTTTTTAGATTATGTTTTGTGTAATTTATTGTTATGTTTGCTCTCATTCTAAATGTATGGGTTTGTTAAGTAATTTACCCAACTATTTGTTTCGTCTCTTAAATTGATATTGATGGCATGTATTAAAAGGGATTTATACCAATGGGGTAATAATTAAAGAAATATTTAAAAATAAAGTATATTTATTATAAATAACTAATTTGAATAATTTTTAAAAATAATTTTAAAGTAATTATCTAGTTCATATATTTAATACCTGTGAAAATATAATAAATAATTTTATGTCAACTTGAAAGAAAATTAAGAAGAGAGAGCATCAAAGGGATTCGGATGCTCTCAAAATTCTCTTTCCTTTTTTCAGTGATAAAATTCTTTTCGTCTTCCTCTCAAAATCTTTTCTTCTCTCTTAGATTAAAGATGGTTCAGATATAATAGTTTAAAAAGTATTATTATAATATTATTAAAATATGAATAATAAAATTTAAACCATTATAATATTATTAAAATATAAAATTTAAATTTTAAACTATTAAAATTTAATATGAACAATTCTATATAAAAATTTTTTTGGCCGGAAGTTTGTAAAATATTTTAATAATAATTTGGTAAAATATTACATATAAACTATCCATTTCTAGGGTGGAGAAGGGTTTTTAAGAAGAAAAGGAAAACAAGGATCATGAGAGAATCTTGGTCTGACATCAAAAAAAGTATTGGTAATAATGATAACTGAACCTATTTTAAACCAAATAATATCAATATCCATTACTATCTCCCTCCCTCTCACTCACACACACAAAGGATACTTTTTTCTTCCGATTTGGTAGTGTAATCACTACAATTTAATGAATTTATAGGTTATAGTATATTATATTGAACTTATTATTAAATTTGATAATTTTAAAAATATAAATTAAGTTATTCTAATAAAATATAATATGATGAGGACAACATGGTGAAGACAAAGGTAGTGAAATGAAATCAAGTCCAAGTCCATTGAAGCTCACCTCAACATATCTCAGAGTAGAAAAGGAATTTCATCAATATATCAATATATATAAAATAAGTTTTAGGATTAAGATGCACTTAATACTCTGATTTATTTTTTATGTGCATCCAATATCCTTAAATATTTAATGGTGAAATTTTCCCTATCATATATTAAACATGGAGCAATTGATTCCCCCAAGTTAACAGAGTTGACGCCATTTCTTAAGGGGTAAAATAATTCAAAATTTAGATGCCCGTTGATCCCAAACTTCTTTAGTTAAAAGCATGCTTTGTAATTTTCAAAATAATGATTGAAATATTGAGCAAGGGTCAGAAATATTTTTTTCACCAGGTTTGGAACTAAATTTAAAAAATCATTTCTTATTTCATATGAAAACATTTTTTATTGGGATAGACATTATCGAAAAGCTTTTTGAGTCTATTTTTATATATAACGAGTTTGAAATTTCACTTCAAAAGCATTTATGATTCGTGAGATATTGTAATAGCATTTATCTCTGCACAATATTTATTAGGAAGGATCTTGAAAACTATAATTATTTATAAGGACAAAAAACTAAAATATAAATATAAAACTATTAAATAACCTTAACCAAATCTCTACATTTCCTGTTATTACATTTCAGTTGCATATATTTTTTCATAATCTCCTTAATTTTTTATCAAAATTCTTTATAATCTTTTTCTCATAATTATTTGCAACAAAATTTATTGAAATAAAATCAATATTATTTACTATTAATCCAAAATATCTTATATACCTAAATATATATTTTATGCAACTAAATCAGACAATTTAATTATCAAAGAGTCCAAGCATCACACTTTAAACATAAAAAAATATAATTTAAATACTTTAAACATCAATATTTATTTCAACTCAAAAAATCAATTTATAGTATTTTACATATAAATATGTTTATTTAAACTTAAATATATTTATAACATATATATACAGCAAAAAAATTTATAAAAAAAAGGTTAAAAAAAAGAGATATTTGAAAAAGAGGAATTTCCATTGAAATCTGAAGAAAGACAAAAATAAAAATTAACTGTTGTTCGTATGGTTTATGTAGATGAATAATTTCATTTTATCTTGTGTTTAGGTATATAAAATATTTTGGATTAACAATAAATAATTTTAATTTGATTTCAATAAATTTTTGTTGCAAATAATTATGAAAAAAAAGATTACAAAGAATTTTAGTATAAAGATTTATAAAAAAAATTCAATGGAGGTGTAATTAAAGAAAATATATGGATTTAGTTAATTAAGAATAATTTAATAGTTTTATATTTATATTTTAATATTTGATCTATACAAATAATTATAGTTTTAAAGATCGTTCCAATAAATATTACTCTCATCCAAATATCACAGGCGTCATTATTGTTGATGCTGCGACTAGGACAACTAACTATTAATATAAGGAAAAACCATATTGGAGGTACCTATACTTTTTTTTCAATTTTCAATTTGGTACCTATGTGTTTTTTGTTCTTAACTAAATCTTTATTTTTCCTCTATTAACATCATTAATTCTTATATAGAGACTAAAAATATCAATAGAACAAAGTTATAAGAGCTAATGTTGCTAAAAATATAAAATTAAATGTTTAATTAAAGGGGAAAAAACACATAGGTACCAAATTAAAAATTGAGAGAAAGTATAGGTACCTTCAATATGATTTTCCCTTAATATAAAATATCACTCTGTTTTATCATAAAAGCATAAATTATATAATATAAGACTCTTAAGAAATTAGATAAGTTAGTTAATTATAAGAAATGTAATACGTTTTTCCTAAAATACCATAATCATCTTTATTAATATTCCCTCTTCCTCTTCTATTTGATTATGGTTGAAGGAATATCCATATAGGTAATTTAAAAAAACTGATAAATATGATAAATGAATCTTATATTTAGGATCAAAACTAATTTAACAATTAGATTCTGCATTAAAAACCGGAGGAGTAGTTTGTTTTTACCAACTCATAAATTAGAGTTAGTTATACGGTGAAAATGTAAAAGTTAAGGAACTACTTGTAAATTTTTTAACTTCAATTAATTGTTTGGAGCATTCGATGAATCAAATGCAAGGAGTACTTCCCATTTCATTTATGAAACTGCAGAAAAAACATGCATTTATGGACTGAATCCATCTTCCCCGTACTGTCCAGGAGACCAGGGCTCCAGGGACTCCAGTCTAGAACGGTGAGCCAGGTAAATAAGAATTTCACTTTTTTTCCCCCAACAAATAAGAAATTAACTATACTCATGGTCTTATTAAAGATTAATATAATTTTTAGTTTTTAAAATTATTTTCATTTTAGATTTGATTTCTCAAATTTCAAATTATAAATTTTAATTTCTCAAAGGGTAAAATGATTTATATTTTTATTTGATTATAGGTATTAATGTTATAATACATAGTTTTCATATATATATTAATATATAAATAAATTTATAATTAGGAATAATATTTTTTTTATAACTTTCCATTTACAAATCACATGAATGCGGTTTGCTTTGGGGTTCATCTTTATTTTATTTACTGTTGTCCTTTTGAATTTACCTAGTTATATTTTGTTCCAATCAACATAATCTTTAGTTTAAAAAAGTTTCTCACCTTAAAGTAGTTTAATTGCATATAATACCTTAAAATTTGAAGCTTCTTGTTTCTCTTTTTTTTGAGGAAAAAAGGCTTTGCTATAAATTCTCTCAAAACTTTACATATGTACACATAATTTTTCTGTAGTCAATCATTTCATTAACAAAATGTGTACCTAAAAAAAATAGAAATTATATTGTAAATTAAAAAAAAAAATCATTAACATATGATTTTTTTTTTTGAAAATATGAAAAAAGGTTACAACTTATTTCTAATATGGCCAGAGTTACATTCCCGGCTAACAAGAAGATAGATATCTCACAGAAGAGAATATATTATAGAATCGATCAATAAAGGACAAACGCCACCGATCAAATGCAGAAGATGAACATGAACAAACCAATCTCTTTCATCATAAAATTGCACAAAAGAAGCTTCTTTCTTCTCTATCAGTCTCATGTTTCAGAGACTGCAGCATCAGCAGGCATGAGAAGAGAAGAAGAACAAGAACAAGCAAATAATAAAAAGGGGGGGAAAAAAAAAAACCTGAACCAAAATCAATGTATTTACACATTGTCTGACCAAATAACAAAGGTACAACAACAAACAAACAAGCAAGGGACAGCCATGAAAGCTACCATTACCTGTCTTTTTGTGCCCCAAACCATGTGCCTGCATTATATCATTCCTGCGCTTCTTTCATCTCCCTCCCCCCCTCTCTCTCTCTGTCTTCTTGATCCTGCAAATTTCATACCTTTTTCTTTACCTCTCTAAAACTTTACCTCTACCTAATTTTCCTAACAACATCATAGTCAAACTCAAATCCACACCGAAAGTACAAGCAACATTGTTAATTTGCAGATTCAGGCTAGTTTTTTTCGCTCAAGAAGACTTGAGAGACAGGAAAGAGGAATCAAATTGTTCTTATTTAGATATATACTTATCTGGATATGTTTAGACTGAGGAGAATAACAGTTAAAGGAAATGTTAAAATTGAATCATTCTCCTCAATTTAAACATACCCCTTATGGAAACTTTCTGTGGATCACTTCTTCTTGGACTTATCCTTGTTGCTGGAGAAGATTGAACCCAAGCCGAATAAATTTGCAGAAGGAACATTGATAACAGGGTTGACTCTAACGCCATTATGGACATAAGATCCATGGATTTTCTTCAGTGGAGGCTTTTGATAAGGCCTTGTGGGAGTATGCTTGTGAGGATTTTGCTTCATGTTGGGACCTTCCTTTGAAAGTGGCATCCTCTTAGCACTTGGGGTAGGAGCAGAACCAGTCGAATTGCTTCTTGATAAAAGTGGCAAAGGACATAAGCTTCTTCCATAGCCACCACTGCCACAACTGCTACTTCTTTTGAATCCCCAGAACGACTTGTTAGTATTATTAGAATTAGAACTCTGCTTCTCATCAACTTCATCAGTATTCACTACAGGTTGCTGCTGCTTGAGCTCTCTGAGGCTTTCGTTCCTGATTGTTTTCCTGGTTGAGGCATTTTCACGAACAGTTTCAGTGGGTGGGACGGTTTGATGAAGTGGTGATTGGTCTTTCTTCTTCTTCTTCTTCTTGATCTCAGTGGGAATCATTTTGCCATCAGAGAAGAGCTCATCCGCTGAAGATGACTCTTGCTCCAAGCTCTCACGAACACAAACATCAAAATCAAAGCTGGAGTTCAAACCAGAGGAGTTTGATCTAAAAGGGGTTTGCTCAACTGGGATAACATCTGATTGAGAGAAATCATGCGAGAACGAAATTCTCGGACTCATTGTAGAAGCCCCACAATTCTCAGAGCAAAGTTCGACTGCCATTTCGATCAATCTTTGGGAAAAACTAGGAACCACACAGACCCACACCCAGATTTGAAGAGAAAAAACAGTACAGAAAAAAAGCAGAGGATGGATTGATTGTACTGTTGAATAGAATGGCTTGAAACAGGGTAGCAAAAGGTAGGCTAGAATAAAAGGGACGTCAGAGAGAAGTCAGGAAATAGGAATAACGTAAAAGAGAGGAATTGCATTTCAGAAAGTTAAAAAAAAAAAAACAGAGAGAGAAGGAATTGAGTTCTCTGTCTTTCTTTCTCTTGGTGAGTCTGACACTTGAAAATCAATCAAGAACAAGCCTGCAACTTTAAGTGGTCCAAAGAGGAGGAGGACGCGGAAAGGTGTGAGAATGAAAATGGCCGATGGGGTTGCAGGAAAATGAAGGAAGATGATGGAGACCTTGGGAGTTAGCCTTAACCCACCACTGAGTGATGTGTTTGCTGTTGATTTAAGCTGGCTTGTTGGAGAAGTACAGAAAGAGATGAAGCAACGTGCGAGGAGAGACAGGATTATGACGGGATTAGGTTAATAACTAACAACGTCCTCGCGTTTTCAAAAATTAGCAAAAACCATGGAGAGAGAACTGTAGTTTTAGGGGGAAAAACAACTCAAATACTCAAAATCTTTTATTAATTAATATTTTTCACTAAAATTATACTTTTCATATAAGGTTCCCAAACACTTTTCACGATCTTTCTTTTTTTTCGTTATATTTTTTTTGACCAAATTTTTTTGGTTATATAAGAAAACCATGATTTTGATATTAGTTAGGAAAACATTGTCTAACAATTTTTTTTCACAAAATCTATTTTACTAAAAAATCTTATATTTCTCACAATTTATTTTATAAAATTTTAAATTATACCAATGCTTTATTTTAGTCCAAGAAGAAAACCTAACCATGCCTTTTAAAAAAAAAATTAATCCAACTATTAAGTGTAAGAGTAAACTTTTTACAATTGGGTCTTATATAGTCAATGACACCAAATATTTTTTTTTCACCTTTTTTTATATGTGGAGTTGTGAGTTTGAACTCTTCATAAAAGGATAATGAATACATGAATTACAGGGGGAAAAAAAAACCTATTCACAATTAAATTGCTATACAAACACTGAGATTTGAACTTTTAACAACTTGCTTTGGGTAAATAGTTTGTATCCATCACTAACTTAATTTGAGTTGAAAAAAACTATCCATGCTTATCCAAAATCCAACATTTTGGGGAAAAAAGCATTATTATGAAATTATTATATGAATTGTGAAATCTATTAAGAATGAATTTAAATAAAACTTAAAAAAAATCAATTAGTTATTGTTGAATTATGAATCACGTGGCTTCATTTAAATTTTATATTGATTGATTGATTTTTCGCCAACGATATGTTGATTGATTGATTTATATAATATCATTATTTTAAAAAAATTATACTTTTCTTTTTAGGAATTTTATTATTAAAGTATATAAGGTATTGTACTAAGTTAGTCTATAAATTAACTATAGAAGGCTTATTTATATGAGTAAAATACTCTAACTATCCTTTTAATTTGTATCAATTACACAGATATCTCTTGTATTTTAAAAATATATAGTTTAATCTAATAAGTTAACACATTTAGGAATATCTAAAAAGATTCTAAAAACATTATTTTTAACTGAAATTTATATTAAAATAAATTTTACTTATTATTTTGCTCTTCATTCTAATAAATTCCTAAGTTATATTTTTACGGTTAGATAAATTTCATTCATTTAAGGCAAACATATAAAAACTTAACTAATTTTTTCAATAAATATATATACTTTGACTAAACATGTTTATAAATTTTTGTAACAAAGATGTGCTCAAAAATTTTGAATTATAAATTTAAATAATTTATAAAATTTTTTAAACTTATACAATAAACAAAGACTATTCTTACAATTTAAAAGAAATCAAAGTAAATAATTTCTAATGAATATGATAAAATATTAAAATTATAAATTTTTTTGATATATATCAAAATTAATAAATTTTATAACATATTAGAAATTTTAAAAATATATGTATTAGAATTATTTTTGATTTTATAAAAACATTTTTAAAAAATAAATGTCTAAATAATTATTAAGTTAAAAAGTGACATTTTGATTAAAACAAATTTTAAGTCAAACTCAACGGCCAACTAGCTATTTGAGTGGATGAAAATTGAATATTAAATATAGAAACGAGGTTAGTGTAACATCTATTTTAATTGTAAGGGAGGTTTATATATGTTTTTAAAATAGAGGGAAGGTTTCTATAATTGAGATAAAATAGAAGGGTCGTTGATGTAATTTACTCTATTTATATTGCTTTAGCAATTTATATATGAACTTTGGATTGGAGTTAGGATGAAAATACAATTTACATGCTTCTTACTATGAATATTGCATGAGTGGATACCCATAACTCCTAACTTTTAGAATTCCCATAGGATTTCTTACCTTCAAGTGTTATAAACTACATAATCTCCTCAATAAATGACTAGGGAGGAGTTTCTTATTGTTAATACCATTATGATATTCTTTATTCCTTTATAACCCTAGTAGAGAACTTCAATATTTGAGAGCTTATAAATAAAGGTCATGCATACGACATTTGTACTATGAAACAAAGCGAATGAGAAAAAAATCATTGTCTTTTATATCTCCTGTTTTCCTTGTTACTCTCTAGTTTCCTTATTTCTTCCTGACTTATAACATCTTATCAGCACAACCTTACTATGAAAATTTGATATTTCGTAAGATAATGTATTCTCGTTATCCAATTATCTCCTTATTCAATCATCATCATATATAATCTTAATCTTCTATACATTTGTTACATATTAATTTTGTATTATATACTTTCTTACTTATCATGTTTTATATTATATAATGTTATTCTATATACATTTTAAGTTTTTCATTACATTACATTTTTTATCTTTTATTTATGTTATATTATGTTATTTTATTTTTCTCCCTTTGTGTTTTATATTATGTTATTTATGTTTTTTTAATTGATATAATTTATGTATCATCTCTACTTGGTATCTATGTTGTTTTATATTGTTTTTTTTACTAATTCTCATATATATATATATATGTATATAATTTATACTATTTATATTTTCTTTTCCCTCATTATATTTGTTTATATTTATTTATGTTATTTATTTATGTTGTTTATATAATTTGTTTATAATAATTGCCTAATAGTATTATATGTGAGTATAGGTTTACTTATTATTTATATTATAAATTTGTATTTATTTAATTTATTTCACTGTAACATTATCTTTGTTTTTAATTGAAATTGTTAGTATTTATATATGATAAATGCATATTAGTTAGTTTATTGCAATATTTATATATTTATTTATATTATTGCTTTTTCCCCCTTCCTTCTATATATATCATATACATTGTCCCTATATTAGTTATTGTGACTAATTATTTGTGTTGTTTATCTCTTCCATCCACATATATGTCTATTTGTTATTCTTCATGCTTTATTTATTTATTTATTTATTTTTGTTTATAATTTTGAAGGAATAATTTATTTATAAGTGACTTTTGAATCCTAATATTTTATTTATTATGGTTCAGTATTCATCAATTTTATTGTAATTCTTATCTTTGTCATTATCATTTTAGTTTAATCCACGGTCAATCTTACCAAACTCGAGTTTACAACTCTTGATATCACAAAAAAATTATTTATCTTGGATCTTAGATGCTAAAATCTACCTAGATGTCAAAGGCCTAGGAAATACTATTTTACCTGGAAATAAAGCAACTAGCCAAGAAAAGGTTAAGGCCATGATTTTCTTATGCCACCATTTGCATAAAGGGTTGAAAGCTAAATATGTAATGGTGAAAGATCCATTAGAATTGTGGAATAATTTAAAAGAAAGATATGATCATCAAAAAATGACAATTTTGCCTAAAGCTCGTTATAAATGGATGCATTTCAGGCTCTAAGATTTTAAAACTATAACCAAATATAATTCAGTAGTTTTCTAAATAAGTTCTCAATTGAAATTATATGGTGAGAAAATAACAGAAGAGGACTTATTAAAAAAAAAAACCTTTTTAACTTTTCATGTTTCAAATGTGCTCCTACAACATTAGTATTGTGAAAAGGAATTAATCCCATGTCTTCTTGTGGCTAAATAAAATAATAAGCTATTGATGAAAAATCATGAGATTCATCCCATTGGATCAGCTTCATTCCTTGAAACGAATGTGACTGTGTGTAATAATTATCATGTGCGTAGATGTGGTCATGGTCGTGGCCGTGGTAGGGGACGCATTAATTACTGTTATTATGGTTGTGGAAGTAACAATTATACACTACAAGAAATTGTAGAAGTAGCAGCGGAACCTTTCTAGCGGTTAAATAAAACCGCTAGAAATTTCAGATATTTCTAGCGGTTCCTACAAAAACCGCTGCAAAATACAGACGGTTTGACCATTAAACGCACATTTCTAGCGGTTACCCCCTAACCGCTAGAAAATTAGAGCTAGAAAACTCCCCGGGCTTTGGCGGGAACTTGGCGCCAAATTTGTAGCGTTTACTTTCTAGCGGTTCAGGCTAATAAACCGCTAGACACTGAAAAATTCTAGCGGTTGATGCATGAAGCGCTAGAAATTTTTTTCATTCCCCGAGGAGTTTAGAAATTTCTAGCGGTTCACGGCCGAACCGCTAGAGATATCTAGCGGTTCGGCCGTGAACCGCTAGAAATTCCCAACGGTCATATGACCGTTGGGAATTTCTAGCGGTTAGGCACAAAACCGCTAGAAATTTCTAGCGGTTTTGTGCCTAACCGCTAGAAAGTCTCGGTCTATATATACCCCCCCCACACTCTCACTTCTTCAATCGTTCTGGAAGCGAAGCTCTGCTGAATTTTCTTCACAAACATATTTGAGTTCTGATTCAGTTGCAGATCCTTATTTTCAGGTAAAAATAGTAATTTATTGATAAATAATTTTTATTTTATGTTTTATTTTATTAATTTTATTATGTTATAGCTTATAAATTATTTTTTTTTATTTCATTTATAAATAATTACTATTTGTTGTTATTAGGATGCCTCGTCGACATGGGAAAGACCCAGTTGATCCTGAGAGAGCTGGACCCAGTGAGGTTCAT